ACCCAGCAGATCCCCTCACGAAGGGACTGTGTAGGGTTAAGCATTTACAGCATGCGCGACGCATTGGGCTGAAGGATGATATTAGTTTTAGTAGTTAGATAGCTTTCGAATTTGTAATAGTTGAAATGTAATTGACATTTGATGTTTAAATAAAAGATGTTTTATTTACTAGTATGGTACTGTCTTGTGTCAATCATTTACTATTGTTTCATTTTGCATGTTTTGACTTCCAGAATAATTATGTTATGGTATATCATATTATTCAAACTATCCACAGTCGATCATACTTTGGAAGTGGGTATTGAAATAAGACTGTCATGAATTGGGTTTGTAGATTTGTCTGAATTGTATTAGACATAGCAATTGTTGCTGCAACATTCATGAGTGCTCATAAGTTCTGAGCATTGGAATCAACCCACGCTCACTGGTATCACTTCATGGAATTTATCTTGAGTGATCGTGAGACGGTAATATCATGTAAGTCTTCAAACCTACAGATATGAGTTGTTGACTATGAGTTGGTTATACATTGATAGTACGAAAACGTATCAGTATCATGATGTTATAAAACGTGTTGTTGTGTACAATTTGATGATTAGTCAGTAAAAGCATATGAGTCGAAGTTTATCTGTTCCTTTTAGTCCTTGGAGGATTAAAAGCGATATCTTGGGCCCCTCGATGATTTTGTTTTGACCTATGTGTCAGGCCCGGTCAGAACTGAATTGATGTGTTCGATTAAGTTCTATGTCAAACAAATCGGAAATCGGGAAACAAACTGCAGGACAATAAGTATGACGTTGTTCCATGTATTTTCCCGGCTGATATCTTGAGAACAGAGGAATATATGATCACTTATCTAAAATGACACAATTTAGTTCCGTGAGACTTTGAAAGAGCTACGATTGCTGGTCGGATCCTAAAGTTATACTTGCATCCATAGTTATTAGACTTATCCAAGTGGGAGACTGTTGGATAAGGTGTCTAAGTCCATAACTATATTTGGTATGTACTTGACCCGACTTGGCATGATCCATTTGGGTTGCATGACATCGGGACAATTTGGATAGACTTTTGTGAGAAGAGGATATTTATGGTTTATTAATATGTTATAAGTTTTAATATGTTAATATGAATTATTTAATTAGTATTGATCAAGAATTAGTTTGGAATTAATTTTGTGATCAAAAGAGATTAATTAAATAAATGAGGATTTATTTGGTAAATCATTCATTCTTATATAGTGGGCTTATGATCCATAGTTCTTCATGTTGGGCTAAACCCATGTGGTGACCCATGGATACTCCATGGAGCTTAAAACCCATGGATCATGAGGAATATGGAAAGACATGAGTTACATGGTGTAACCTTAATATGCACACTATATAAAGAAGTCGCATCCTTGTAAAATCGGCACTTAAGTGATTCTAGTGAGGGCTAGCCGATTTTGGTGCATATCAATCTTCTCTCAAGTTATTCTAAGTTGTTGGTGGTGATGTGCGAAGCATTTGAGGCATCACATTTGGGGTGCTAGGCTCACAAGGTCTTAAGGAATCCAAGCAACAAGAAAGGTATGTCATTCTACTAGTTTTTTATATTACATATACCCCAATCATATGCTAGTTAGGATGAAACCTTGGAAAAATGAAAATTTGCATGTATAATAGAGAAAACATAGATCCAAGGTTTCTAGGGTTGCATGTACACCATAGGAGTGTTAGAATACTCAAAACCCATCAAAAGCTGCTAGAACTTGATTAGGATGTCGAGTACTTAAGAGACAACCTGCAATAATATTCAGGACCGTTAGGTCTTTATGCTCTAACATATGTTGTGTATTGATTATGACATCTTTAGGGTTTTGATATTTTGAAATAATCATTTGTATTCAAAATGTTTTATTGTACTGCGATTTCCAAAAATAAAAATAATATGATTTTGGAAGCGTAAAGAAAGTTTATTTTTCTTCAGAAAAATAGGGGATGTAACAAATCTTTTGTTTATTTTCATTGCTAATCCATTATCATGTTTATCACATAACTTATATCATATGGAAAAATTATTTAACCAAATGCTACTGAACATTGCACTTTATTTTGGTTTTTGGGACAAAATCTTGTTTGAAACCTTTATGAACTTGGATTCTGAAGATTTTGTTAAGAACTTGGATTCCCATTAGACCCTCGTTCATTTTACCCCCAAATCATTGTGTAGCTTGATCCGGATTTAACGTTTCTTTCTTATAAGTTTTAATTTTGTTGGGTTTTGTAGCTCAAAGATTTTGTCTTTTAATATAGTTATGCCCCTGTTCATACTCGAAGTAGGAGGGAAAAAAGTATTGTCTTGCAGGCTGCAGCTGAAGCTAATGACGATTGAAAATGATCGAAAAACAAGATCTTATATTTATATTTTGTTATCATTGAATGGAGCCTTGAAATTAAAATATGTGTCTGATTTGAGTATATAAAGAAATCCAACACCATTCGTTCATTGAAATTACTTTTTTTAGAAGATCTTGTGATGTGGTCGATGAAAATATAGGCAGGTTCATTGAATTGTGGTTTCAAGCCTTTGGGCGGATTTAAAAGAATTATAGAACTGATTCCCTCAATTTCACTATGTTATTATGATTCGTCCTTGTAAAAAACATTTGTTTCATTGCACTTTTGAGCCTTAAATTTGCAATAGATGGTTGTTACTTGTTTGGGTTTTCAGCTATGAAAACCAAAGTGTCATCCTTGCAATTGTTAATTAATCAATTGCTTCAAATGCCATCTTAATTTCAGTTTTTAATTTAAATAAGGGGCTGTTTGGCAGGATCTGAATTTTTAAGAGATCTGAATTTCTAAGAGGGTCTGAAATTTTAAGAGTTGAATGTACAACATGTTGTTTGGTTGGGACATCTGAATTGTTGTGCTGAATTATAAAAATAACCATTTTACCCTTCTGTTTTATTTGTTTATTGAATTCAAGTGTATGCTTATAAAATAACCTAATTAATTTCTTAAATAATTATAAGAAAAAAATATAAACACCATATAAAATCCAAATTTAGCATAAATCAAGTGATCATACAATATAACCAAATTAAACATAAATTCTTTCAAATTCACTTCTTTCAAGCCATTGTAACATAAAAATCATATAATATAACCAAATTAAACATAAATTCTTCCAAATTCACTTCTTTCAATCCATGGAAACATAAACATCATACAATAGCCAAATAAAAATACTCTTTCAATCCTTGGTGCAACTAGTGAACCAAACACTTTCTACTTCCTGCACACTTAAGAAACAACCATACAATTTATCACTCTTTTATCAACAAAAAATTAACCAAAACTTTTAAGCACAAATCAATATAAATCATCCATTTAAGCAAGAAATTGCCCATTAGCAACAGGTACACAAGTTAATAATCAAAGTTCCTAACGAAAATTTCAAAATCCAAGTTCATAATTGTTTCAAGTATCAAGATTTCAGCATCAGGTTATCAAACAGATCAGATTTCAAGAATCACCCGCATTAAACATTTTAAGAGACTGAAATTGATGCTCCTAATAACAACTTTATCATAATTTATACATACATCAACACTTCAAACCCAATCAAAATCTGTTAGAAGCAAAACATTTAAGAACAAACAAATTCAAACCTTTATAATTAGATTTCTGATTTCACCATTTCAATAGTTTGAAACCACATATGAATTCAGAAAATAAAGGAAAAGAAAAAAAACAAATTTTCTATAAAAACAGGAAAAAAATCGAGTTTCAGGGGGAACACAATAGATGGAGCGGAGGTGCTTGTGTGCATCGATGAGAAGAGAGAATCGGAGGAGGCGTGAGTTTGAGGAGAAAAAAAACCGATTCATTGACCAATTTATTCATAAAAACAAAAAAAAATTGAGTTTCGGGGGGAAAGAAGGAAGAAGAACGAACCTGGATTGTCAGAGTTGAAGGAGGCGTTGTTGCAGGCGGCGGAGGAGAAGGCGGCATCGTCGGAGGCGGCAATGTTGGGGTACGGCGGCGTCGTCACAGGCGGTCGATTATTGGAGATCGGTGAGGGAAAAGAAGAGGGTGAGAAGGAGGAGAATGGGGCGAGAAAGAGAGTACGCGTTTTGGGGTTAAGGGCATAGCGTGTCTTTTATTTTTTCAGATGGAGTTCCAAATCTGATTCGGTAAGTGCTAAAATTCAGATTCAGACCAAAACTTAAGAGGTAAACAAACGGTCTGAATCTTAAAGATTCAGACCTACCCCTTATTAAGAGGTATTAAGATGCAAACAAAGAGGCCCTAAGTAATGTTAAAACTTCAAAGACCATTAAATTGCTGATGAAATATGTTGTTTTCTGATGTTCTTGAAGAATAAACCTAAGAATGGTATAATGGTTATTTTTATCATTCAATATAATAATTCAGATGTTCCAATCAAATAACATGTTATAAATCAGATCTTAAAAAATAAAAGCCTCTTAAAAATTCAGATCCTGTGAAACATCTCCTAAATCACATAAGGTATAAGTATCGGTTAAAATCATAAATCAGTTGGCCGATGTATCATTACTAGCTTTCTGATAACTCGTCTAATGGCAAATATTTGGTTAGACCTATAAATTAAATAAGTGACTTGATCTTTTATAAATTATTTTGTTATATAGTAAAAACTAATAAATTAGTGCTTGCGATCAAGATTGATTTTGATAATTTACTTGGTAATAAACGTTTTAAATCTAATTTACCATATATATATATATATATATATATATATATATATATATATATATATATATATATATATATAAATAAAGGAAGGATCATTTGAGAACCTATAGTTTTTCGAGAACCCAATAACTAAAAGTGGAACGTTAGATCAAAACTTTTAATAGCCTAGATCAAACATGATATATTTGTAATTATTAACAATTTTGATAACATTGACTTTTTACAATAAATTACAAAGGGTTGTTATTGTCCACTGCCTCACCGAGTTGTATTGATGTTTCATGCTTTATTGATTCAGTTGTGCCCTAAACTTTATTCTTTGGGATAGAGATTGGTGTCCTTGTTGGGGTTCATCGAAGCTACCCTGTCCCACTCATAAACTATCTGTAGAGGTTCATAAGAGAATCAGGAACCCTAGCTCAAATCCATAGCGCAATTTAACTCAACTTAAGGTCAATTGGAGTGATGATCAACGAAGACGACGGAGACAAAAGCTACCGAATGACTGGCTGACTGCTACTGTTAAATACACATCATCCACCTTCAATTCGTAAATTGGTCATCAACATCGTTGTTAACCTTTAAATTCTGCCACTTCCGGACACCGAATCGATCAACGATGACAAGTGAACCGATGGACACTACAGAAAGAGAGAATGTTTCTGAATTTACACTCGCCAAGGTATCGCCTCTTCTTGTCAGTGCGCTCTGTCTGCATGTTGCTAATAGAAAGTATTAGTTGTCGTATACAAAAGTTTATATAATTTATTAGGAAAACCTTTTCAGAAATGTAATGTATTCATCAAAATTTTCTACGACTGTTCAGAATTTATGTCATGTATGCTTTACCTGTTTGATAAAAATGTTAACTTTTGATCGTTCGTGCTTTGGTTGAGGCAGGGGTTTTTGTTTTAACTTCTTTCCTGAATGATTGTGGCAAATTGTTATTTTGATGATGATTTGTAATTTGCAACAAATCACTTCGACATGAACATACGGGTAATTCCATTATCAAGCCGTGTCTTCGTGGATCAAACTTAAGATTTCATAGCTTAGGACATATCACATATAGTTAAATAAATGATATGAAATGACTAGAGAGATCACTCCTCTGTTCCCAAGAAAATGAATTTTGATGTCAAATAGACTTTCCGTAAACACTAAAATTGTTATGCATTCCAAAACTCTTAAAAGATTCACGTAGTCTAAACTCCATAGAGAATTGGTGGCCTTAATTTGGTAACATAATCCATTTGGCCTTAATTCTCAGGGTCATTGTACCCCCATTTTGATTTGTGAAGATTTATCTAATTAGGGATCACCAACACTTCACAAACTGTTGCCTTAAATCTAATTCATATATAACACCTTTGATGTGATTGATTAGCTCCTTATATCTCAAATAGTTGAGGGATGTTTTTTAGTCATGGCCTGGTAATGTGGATTTGAATGGTTATTTGGGTTTGTATGCTTCAGTCATTTCTTAACATAGGTCCTTTTTTTGGTGGTTTATAAAAGATAATATACATTATCATTAATGGTAAATGTTTTATCAGTATTAGTAGTACTATAGCATTCTTCTCATTCTAACATGGTAAGAGATGATAATATTTGAGAATGCAAAATTCTTGAACTCACATGACACATCCAATAAAAGAGGGATACATCTACACATCTGCCTGATAGAAGTTGATGCAAATGTGGATATGAATATATTGTTTACACACATACAAATGACCATGTTTTGTTTTCCTTGAATAGATACACACGTGGTTCCTTGATAGACAATTATTTTCAGCTGTTAAGAATAAAACTCTAGTGGTTGATTCAAATGAAGTGACAAAGCAGCCTGCAATCATAAACTCTTCTCCAAATGCTCTAAAAAATCTTGTGGCCTTGTCAAAAGCATGGGCTGCATCTGAAAAACCTAAAACGCCCAAAGGTTCATTTTATATTTCTTTCTCATCGAGCATGAAACTAAAAAAGAAAATATCTATTAATTAATTGTTACAGATTTCTTTAATATGTATGATTCTTTTTGCTTCTGGAAAAGAATTATGCTTCATTATTATGTTTCTTCTACAGCACAAAGAGTGGCAGAACTTTCAGATTTGAGTTTTGAAGCCTTGTCAGCAAAGGATTGTGCTTGGTGAGTAGCTGTAAATATATTTGATGATTATGATATATCCTTTTTATAGGTAATAAGGTAAATTATGTAATAATTTCTTGACTAACTTTTCAGGTATGATGTTGCTACTTTCACTAATTTCAGAGTTCTTTACCATGGCGAGCTCGTAAGCCTTTGTTATCACAATCATAAATTGACCATACGATTGTGTAATGATGAATCAGGGGAATTATTGTCTTTTTTTTTAAATGTGCAGGAAGTTTGTGTGAGATTTTCCGGTTTTAGTCATGATCAAGATGAGTGGGTGAATGTAAGAAAAGGACTTCGTGAGAGGTCAATACTCTTGGTGCCTTGAGAATGTCACAAAGTCAAAGTTGGTGATCTTTTGCTATGCTACAGGGTATGCTTTTTTACCTTTCTCTTTTCCTTTTATTGATTATTGGTAGAAATGTGCAAGATGGTTGCTTATTATTTACAAAATACAAGTACAAAATCTTAATGTTAAAGTAAAGATCTGTTTTTTTTTAAATAGAGCGATTTGGGAATTGGGAGATTGTAAATAGTTTATACAATAGGCCCGCTTATTATTTAACTTATTTTCAAAGTTTTATATCAATAAAATATGATCATATTATTTTTTGATGTTGATTTCCAAGCAAATGAAGATCATGCACTTTATTCTGATGCACAAATCCTCCGTGTTGAAAGGCAGCTGCATGCATGATACAGATACTTGCACGTGTGCCTTTGTGGTTCGGTTTGAGTACGATAATGTCGAGGTAAATAAAATAAATGTTATTTGAAAATACTATAAATTTCACTTATTGTAGCAAAGACATTTTAAGGCACTTTAATTTTATTTCTTATTTGGTACACAATATTATCATGGCAATTTGATGAAGATAGATATGAATTATATATAATTCACATGTAAATCACATATAATTCACATATTAATCACAAATAACTCACAATTGAATCACATATGAATTATATAATTCACATATGAATCACATGTAAATCACAAGTGAATTACATATTAATTACAAGTGATTCACATGTAATTCACATATGAATCACATGTAATTCACATGTAAATCACAAAATAATCACATGTGAATTACATGTGATTCACATGTAATTCACATATAAATCACATGTAATTCACATGTAAATCACAAGTGATTCACATATGAATTACATGTGATTCACATGTAAATCACATGTAAATCACATATGAATCACATGTAATTCACATGTAAATCACTAGTGAATCACATATGAATTACATGTGATTCACATGTAATTCACATATGAATCACATGTAATTCACAAGTGAATCACATATGAATTACTGTGATTCACATGTAAATCACAAGTAATTCACATATGAATCACTTGTAATTCAAATGTAAATCATAAGTGAATCACATATGAATTACATGTGATTCACATGTAAATCATATGTAATTCACATATGAATCACATGTAATTCACATGTAAATCATGAGTGAATCACATATGAATTACATGTGATTCACATGTAATTCACATATTAATCACATGTAATTCACATGTA